ATAATGAAAAAAGTACATTTCTTTGTTTATTTATTTATTTGTTTATATTTAAAAAATATTAAAATCAATAGTTCATCGGACTTTGCTTTATTCTCTCTTTATATAAGTTTCTAGAAGTAAAGTTATAAATCTAAATATATAATTTGAACTAAAGTTATTAAATTATGTCGAGTGATTAGAAATGAACAGATATTTACCACCACCATTTGTAAGGTCAATTGTCACATATGCAAACTATATTAATTCTTTTTTTTCTTCTTCTTTTTGTTCCAATAATTATGTACTATATATGTACATTCATCATTAATTAATTATTAATATGGATGACTGACTAGGTTTATATTTCTTGACTTAATCACTAAGGATTGGACCCCTTTTTTTCATTAACTTATTTTTTTTCAAAATAAATAAAATAAATTAATATAGGTGTGGAATGTGGATTTTTTTATTAAAAAAAAGCATGTATCTTTCGACGTCATTCAGTGTATATTCAATTAGGGGAAAAAAAGTGAAGAGTCAATTATTTCAACATTTGGCTAGTGTGTAAATGATTTACTTTTGCTAGCATGATATGTGTTGATATCTATTTCGGATCTTGATTAATTCAAATTTGTATTGAGAAATTATTTTTGAGATAAAATATTTATTATTAAAAGTAATTATATATTTCATATTATTAGGATTTTGAATTTGAAATTTTTGTATTAAAAATTTATCGAAAACAGACTGTCTCTATCTTATAAAGAAAATATTCATCGTTACCAAGCAATTCCCAAAAAAGTGAGGTAAAGTAAATAATGTCAAACCACCCAACCTTTTTTCTTGTCACTATCTATTAATAGGTTGGTACTCTTTAATTTCTTTTGTTAGTTTATGAAGAAAAACAACAATATTGACTACATTATAAAATTATTAAACTGCAAAAAAAATTGACTAATGTTCTTGGACAACATTATCACCTAATATGAATCATTCTTAATGGCCATTTTTTCATTTTCTAATACTCCTTTCATTTTAATGTAAATATTTTTTTTATAAATTTAATTAAAAAATTTATTACAATATTTTACGTGACATGTTTAAGATCTATAGATTTCCAAAGAATATTTTAACAGTACAAACATCTTTAAATACTCCTTATTTAAAATAAGATATTCAAATTAAAAAAATAGAAGTACTAATTACTTTTTTAAACCAGATTAATCACCTAGTTGCATTGAAGATCACTGACCAAGGAATAAAACGCATTCATAAAATGCGATTTATGAATAAAATTTGAATTTTTCAAAGATATACAGTCCAAATATAAAATTTATGTCACGTATTCTAATATACAATATTATATCTATTTAAGTCCATATTATTTGTTAGATTACATATAAATTCTCTTGATATGATATTTTTTTTTGTTTCATACCAAACATACCTTTTTAAGTACGAAAAGGGGTCAAAAATGCTCTCAATGGATAATTTGGTTCAAAAAATGTTTTTTATTGTTCCTTAATGGGTCACAATGCCCTTTTCCTATTTTGTCCCAAATAGCTTCATTTCTGATCCTCTCTCCTAGTAAAAACACACCTCCATTTTAACATCCTAATTTCTACTACTCTCATCTTCTGGATGTGTGAGTTTTCGATCGTTCAACACTCTACCCCTTACAATATATTTCGTTTGACCATCATTTTGTAAAAAACCTTTAAGATTTGATGACACATACATATCACATAATTAGACACGAAAATCAAGCTTTCATCTATTTGTTCTGCTTCAATACGATGTGGAACATAAATATTATGATAACAAAAATATTATAACTATTACTCAATTGACCTTGGTTTTCAAAAGAAAAGTAATTTGCTTTTCTCTTTTTTCTTTTTCAGATTGAAAATTATGATAACAGAAATATTATAACTATTACTCAATTGACTAACCTTTGTTGGTCGTCCATAAGTTGTGAACATAGGACTACATGACTTTGAGCCATAGAATTGAGGAACTCAAGTTATAATAAACTTTTGTTTAATGGCAGATTTTGTAGTTGACATTTGAATTTTGAAAATTTGATCGTAAAATTTACTTGCATATTTGAATTATTTCTTCCTTAGATAAAAAGTTTAAAATTTTATAAATTGAAGACTCCTCTTCTCATATCAGTACACACAATAGCATTCACAAGGTAGTCATTAAAGAATTTTATTTATGGGGAGATTATTCTCCCAATAGAGTTTATATTTTATTTTTATTTTTAGTTTAGACCAAACCATATTAATAATATAATTTTAGTATGTTTTTATTTATTATCTAATTTATCACCAATATGATTTATAATTATAAATTTGTGCATGACGCCCTGATTCTTTCAAATCCAACAAAACCACTGTCATTTTTCTTGTCAGTATTTATTTGTGTAAGTTGGTACACTTTATTTTATTTTGTTAGTTTATGAAGAAAAACAACAATATTGACTACATTATAAAATTATTAAACTGCAAAAAAAAATTGACTAATGTTCTAGGATGATATTATCACCTAATATGATTTTTTCTGTATGCCCATTTTGCATTTTTTTTTAATACTCCTTCCATTTCAATGCAAGTATCTTGCTTTTTCTCGTTAGTATAATTCAAAAAAATAAATATTTTTTATATATATTTAATAATTTATTAAATTTCAATATTCTACCTTACATGATATAAAGATTCAAAGGGCATAATTTTAGCACTATACACGTCTATAAATATTCCTTATTTTCATCTATCTTAACTTCGATGTATATGGATAGATTATTTAGTACATATTATTGGTGAAAGATATTCCATAGAATTAGTAAGCGAAAGTTGATCGCCTAGTGATAGATATGCTTAATAAGAAAGAGTTTGGAGAAAAATAGCAGTTTTAGCTAGTGTTTGGCCGTAGATTTTTTTTAAAGTAAAATGCATTACAAACATAATTTCAAATTTTGAAAAATTACAATTTTAAAAACTCAATTTTTTAAAATCGTAAATTTTAACTTCAAAATTTAGGATGATTTGTTTATTATAACTTGAGTTGATTAATTCAATGGCTCAAAGTCAAGAATCCTATGTCCATAACTTATGGAGGACCAACAAAGGTTTAGTCAATTGAGTAATAATTATAGTATTTCTGTTATCAAAATTTTCAATCTTAAAAAGAAAAAGAGAAAAGTAGATTACTTTTTTGAAAATCAAAGGTCAGTCAATCTTTCTTCTTCTTTTTTCACATTCTTTTCCCCAAAAAATTGAAATTCTTGTGAGAAAAAAAGACTTTGCAAACAAAAAAACTAGCAAAAATTGAAAGAATTTTTTTTTTTTACAAAAAATAATAATTCATTACTTCTAACAAGATGCCATGATTAATAAACTTTGAACTTGGATGAGAGTAGTGAAAACGAGGATGTTATATAGGGCAGAGTGTTGATCGATCAAGAATTAACACATCCAGGAGATGAAAATAGTGAAAATGAGGATATTGAAACTCTATAGGAATCCATAAACTTCAAATCACGAGAACTTTCGTCAAGCTTTCTTGACAAATAGTTGAGTTATGTATAAACATATTTTATGGCAAAGTCAGATTATTGTTATATTTATAATATATAAATTCGGAATTGATATTCATAGTACAAATTTATTGTTTTTGTAGATTAAAATTATTACATACAATTGTTTATTTTTTTGTAGTCTACGCATATGGTATAAACTTTTATATCTAAAATATATCATATATTTAATGACATAAATATAATTTATAAAGGGTGTATTTGGTATGAAGAATTTTTTTTCTATATGTAATCTAGTAAAACAATACAAATTCCCCAGATATAATATTGTATAATATTATATATCGGGATACGTGACATAATATTTTACGTTGGAGTGTATATATTTGAAAATTTCAAACTGTTTATAAAACGCATTTTCTGAATGCGTTTTATTTCTGATTAGTGATTTTCAATGCATTTCCTTATTGTCCCTCTTAATAGCATTTATAGAATTACGCAATAGGATATATTCTTTCTCTATTAATATAAAAACTTCACTTTATTATATCTGGTGATTTTGTTAAGAATCAAATTGATTCTGTTTTCAGCAGAGAAAATCACTACTTGTTAATAACTATAAGGTTTGTGTATATACTGTCCTTTTTTAATCTTATTTTATGGGACTATACTGAATATATAGTTATTGCAATAAAGCAAAGTTGAAGAATGTAAAAAAAGGAAGAATTGAAGCCATAGTGTGGTGTTTTGGCCTTCAATATAATACACTTAAGGCTCGTTTAGTTAGGAATAAGTTGTCCTGAGATTTTATTCCAATTAAATATGTAATAAACTCATTCGATATCATTTATCCCTCCTATCAAACAAGCCCTTAGTCGTTTGGTGGCTAGTTAAAGTTATACATAATTTAATACCTACATAACTCACCTCTAAATCAGCTACCGATTCGAATAAGCCAATCTTGTGAGGTTTTAATGACACATATAGTCAAAAAGTGATGCCTTTTCCACTCAGATGTCTAAGAAAATTAACTTATAAGTAATTAATAAGTTCTACTTGCTACTCCATGTGTATGCCAAAGTTGTCAACAAATAATAATGTCATAGGAAGCTTCACCTTTTTCTAAAAAAGATTGTTATATATCTATATTATAATGTATCTTTTTTTCTTTGTAGAAGTTTGAAAAGTGAACCATAAATGTGTTTTACTCATCATGTTTCTTTGAAAACTTCATTTTTCTTTATTACAAGCACACACTAACTAGGGAAATAAAGCACTTAATAGATTCTGATCGAGATCTCTGATTAAAGGTGAAGAAATTTACAACCATCTTACCATATCTCGCGATGCATTTCATGTGTGGATAGTTAAGACATCGCCTAAGGCCAACAAAGAAAGGAAAATCATACAGTAATGACACTAATCAAAGTAAATTAAGCAAAAACCAAAACTAAAGAAATAGCCAAGAGTGAGAACCAGAGACTATAAACCTGTTCATATCAATGTCTAGAAAACTATACTTACGGGGACATAAAATCATCATCATACAGTAATGAAAGTGATCAAAGAAGACAATCTTTAACAAGTGCAAGACTAATCCACTATAGAAACAGGTGAATAAAACATGTGATGCTTAAAAATGCTCCACATTGCAGAAGTATTTGGCATCAGTGTCGTGACCTTGACTCGGCTCGTTTAGCTTCATCTGGATGAGAAGGAAATAGTTCAATATACCTAGATCCAATCTTCATATTGTCCTTGCACATAGCTTTCTTGGCCTCTTCAGTAGAGGCGAATTCCACATAAGCCTCTCCAGTAGCTTTTCCATCAGAGCGGTATGCAAGGTGTACCTTGTCAGGTTTAACATTAAATTCCTCACCAAAAAACCTGCCAATATCTGTTTTTCTAACACTGTATGGGAGACCTCGCAATTTCAATATCTCAGAGTACTCCATATCATCTTTGTTCACAGACCTCTTTGGTCGAGATGGAGGGGGGGAACGATATTCATAATCCTTACCTCCTTCCTTCACCTCAGCAGCTACAGCTTGGTAATACTCTTCTTTCTTACAGCTGAAAACTTCCACATATCTCCTCCCCATGTTCTGTCTGTCCCTTTGAAGAGCATAATCAACCTGCATATGACCAGCAAAGACAACAAAAGCCTCCCCAATGAACCGTCCATCCTTGTTGACCAGGAAACTATCCACAATATCCAGGCCAGCAAAGAACTTGTAAATGTCAATTTCAGTGCAGTTGAACGGAAGACCCCTCAAATGAACAACAGGAAATCCAGAAGGCTGAAATCTGCTGCTACCATAGCCATAAGGCTGGTGATAACTGCTTGCACCGCTGCTCACTGCGAAGTAGGGATTTGATTCCATCATTCTTGGTCTCTTTGAGCCGATCTCGTACCCGTCCGAAACCCCCCCGCTCCCCAACATTGCCCTTCAATTATGATACCCAAAAAGGAAAAAAATCCCCCACTTAACCTTGTTAATACAACCAAACCCAACCCATATGTTTCCTACAACCTAGTTTTCAATACCACTTATTCTATAACGAATCACAACATTTCACATGCATCCCAAAAAATATAACAGCAAATTTACACATATTACATAATTAAAACAGAAATGAACATACTCCCTACATTCACTTTTACTTGTCCACTATTCCAAAAATAGATTTTCATAGGAAGAAAAGACAATTAATATTTTTCATGTTTTACCCTTAGCATTAGTTACTTAATCCCAAAATCAGTTTTCAAAACCCAACACTAAACATCAAGTAATATGGGCATTATGGTAAAATCCTCATATATCAATCATTGTTTCGTAAGGGGGGTGTGCAAAGTCCAAAGTGGACAAATAAAAGTGAATGGAGGGAGTAGAAAATAAGAGACATATTCTCGGGATTATGCCATGCCCAAGGCACAAACTTAAAAGAAAGAACATTTTTTCCAAGAAAGGAGATATTTTCAGTCCTTTAATAGTTGAAAATCTCTAGTGGCAGAAACAAATTCATCTAATACCGCACATAACCAGGTAACCACATTAAAAGACCATCATAGAACTAAAAACTCTTCCAGCTTTTCAGTCTGAAGGGGAAAATGTTCTAAAATCCTTTACACAGGAGAGAGTCTACCTATGCGACTATGTAGGTAACGAATATGGTATCTTAAAGACTTAAAACTATCAATTGATCAGGAAATTTGCATTGGTATCAACCTCCTAAAAAACGTGATAACTATGTGAACTTAAAAGGTTAAACATTTCACTTATGAGGTTCTTATGTTGAGAAAGAGAATCTCACTTTAAGAAATTGTTATTACTCTTATCAGCAACCCCTTAAAGGTGGGATAACTATGAGAACTGAACATCAAGTAATATGGGCATTATGGTAAAATCTTCATATATCAATCATTGTTTCGTAGGGGGGTGTGCAAAGTCCAAAGTGGGCAAGTAAAAGTGAACGGGGGAGTAGTAAATAAGAGACATCATCTCAGGATTATGCCATGCCCAAAGCATAAACTTAAAAGAAAGAACAATTTTTCCAAGAAAGGAGATATTTTCAGTCCTTTTATAGTTCAAAATCTGAAACAAATTCATCCAAATAGTGCACATAACCAGGCAACCACATTAAAAGACCATCATAGACCTAAAACTCTTCCAACTTTCAGGCTGAAGGGGAAAATGTCCTAAAATCCTTTACACAGGAGAGAGTCTACCTATTCCAGTGATCAGAAAATTTGCATTGGTACCAACCTCCTAAAAAACGTGATAACTATGTGAACTTAAAAGGTCGAACATTCCACTTATGAGGTTCTTATGTTGAGAAAGAGAATCTCACTTTAAGAAATTGTTATTACTCCATCAGCAACCCCTTAAAGGTGGGATAACTATGAGAACTGATTACTCTATCAGCAACCCCTTAAAATTGGGATAACTATGAGAACTGAAAAAAAGTCGAAGATTTTGTTTTTACACTTCTTTGGTCGAAACAAAAAAAAGGAATCGTACAAGGTATTATTTCATGAAGTAATATACAAAGCTCAAATGCCAGAGATGAAAACATCTCAAGCTTCTCGTTCCACCAGATAGAACTTCTTTTTTCTTTGGGGCGGAGGGGTTCGGTTACAGCCTTACAGGCAGGCTTAAATTCGGTCAATCAATTAACTCTCAAATCACAATTCCAAGGATTGTTTATATGATCTTCTTCTTTCGGTCAATCAATTAACTCTCAAATCCCAATTCCAAACTAGTTACTGTTGATGGTCTGATCTTCTTCTTCTTCTTCCTTATGCCCGAGAAATCCGTGTCGAGATAACTTTTTGGGCGGCCTACTGCAGTCTTTTATAATCTGGGATGGTGCAAATCATCCTCCACACCCCACCCCCACCTCAACCTCTACCGCTTAAATATTGAACTTTAGTTTGCTTAGGGCTCAAACTTGTACCTTGGACACAAGTCCCTCAACTTTTCCAGTTGAGCTAACCCCTAACATATATAATAAGAATAATTCATCTTTAAAAGTTACTAAATTAACACTTTGTTCAACAAAAGTGTAAACCAATAATGACCAAATCCAAAATTTCTCCTACATGGTTCTTAAATACTATGTTGCCAACTCTTCAAAAATGTCATTCTTCAATATATAAGACTCTTGTTCCTTTTGATAGGAATTCTCCAAAAGTAGTGTACTTTGGGAAAATTCGACACATGTGAGGATCAAAAGTGAAAATTCCACGCAACTTAGAAGAATCAAGCAGTGGTCGAACAAATAATCGAGCAATTCAGTAATCACGCATCAAAATCAACAAAAAAATCAATTAAAACACATGAAATCGGGGAAATAAGGCGGAAAAACACATCAACAGAACAAAAGGCCCAATTCATTCACCTCATCAACAAAGCATTAAATTTTATCAAACCAAAGGGAATTAGGTAAAGTTACCCTCTTGATCCGTACATAGCTCTGAAAATTCACTGACAATCTGAAAAATTCAATCAATTGGCTCGATTTGAAGCTTCGGTGAGGAACCCTAGAGTGCACCTTCAAAGGAAAAACTCAAGACAAATGAAAAGGACTAACCCAAGCTACGGGTCCTAAACGAAGAAATTGTTAACCCGCTAAACTTAGCCCATGAAATTATAACCCATCAATCCGATTAGTTAGACGGTTTGTTGATTCGTTCATTTATGAGGCTAATAAATTTCAGTACATTAAAATTTGGATTGATACGTGATTCAAATTGATTATAAGAATATTTTTACTCTCTTTTTAACTTGATTTTATTTTAATCCAAGTGATATTTGAGCGAGATAATTAGGGTTGTGCAACAGTCATATTGGTTCGATTTTGAAGTTTATCGATTTAACTTATCAGTTTGTAGACATGCTAAACCATTATAAAAGCATTAAGCTATTGACTTATCAGTTATTGTTCGTAATAGGTTTGATTATCGGTTTAATTGTTAAGATTTGAAAAAACAACTTAGAAACAGTGACAAATCAAATGAATCATGCACATGAGTTGACATAATGTATCTTACTCAAAAGCAAACACTAGCACATTATGGAATAATCGAGAGTTTGAGATAGACAAAATAAAAGTATGAAACTAAACCCTAAGTCAAGAACTTTATATATTAAATGACATAAATATAATTCATTAATTAACTATCTAGTTATCGGTTAACCCATTTAAAAAAATCTCAAACCGTTAAGAATTAGTAACCTAATAATTAAATAAATCAAAACCACTAAACAATATTTTTTTTCAGTTCGGTTTTTGAACAATTCTACATTAATAACATATCTATTTATGCCACGATCCAGAGCACATCCTAGACGTGGCATGACGTATATGACCCCGAGAGGCCCTACAAAGCCATTTGATACAACACAATATTAATAGATAAAAGTAGAAATTTAATTGAAAGTCTCATATCATAGAAGAGTTTGACATAAAAGCGGAAGTCATATTATAATCTTGACAAGCCAATCTAATACATGTAAAGAGTTGTTGGGACATAGCTCATACACCATGTACAAGGTCTGAAAACAAAAGACATAAGAAAGCATAGTAAAGGTAACACGGTCCTCGAAACATGATGACTCGCCAAGTTTTTAACAATTAATCAATCAACTAGCCACGAGCGGAAGGAGGAGTAGTGTCGGACCCCACATTATTAAACAATGTAGACAGAAGTTTGCATTAGTACACTTCATGTACTAAGTATGGGGAAATGCATAAAAACATGAAACATAAGTAGATGCGAATGTTAGAACATGATATGCATGACCAAACTAAATCAGAGTTAAAGTCTTTACAAAAATCACAAGTCATAAACATGGGCAATGCATCTTAAAACATAATTAAAGCTTCATAAAGCCTTTGAAGTAACTTAGTTCATTTTATGGGATGTTGCTATTAGCCGATATAGACCACGTGAGTTATAACGCAGAATCCAATGTCTTGCTCCCATGCCAAAAAGAGATGTCCTACTTGCCAAGGTAAAGACCAAAATCTTCTAGCTTGAGTGGTACCAGTAGCTATGTCACTTGAGACAAATCCTAAGGAAGCACGTAGTTAGGGACAAAGAGATTGCTACTAGAGAACCGGCCTCATCTAACGGCAATGTCCTCCCAGTATTAAGTAAAATTCCAACGAAATTAGTCATAAACATGTTCACATCATCATACTTGGAAAGACACACTTAGGTTGCCAATCCAATCTTACGTTCATCATAAAGTAGCTCCTTAAATCATGAATCATGTATGTGTGAGAAATTTTTTCACCAAATCATGATTTCTTAGTATGTGAGAAAACCTTTCACAATTTCATTGATACTTTATCTTAAAGGCACCCTCTAGTCATGAAACATCAATTTCATAAAACAGGCATAAAATTTATAAATCATATTCATAACTTCATAAATTCATATCTTTATAGATTCATAATCAAGTTCATGAATGATGCATTGGTCTATATGAACTCAATTGAAAACTACACAATTGAATCTAAACATGCATATGAAAATTGAAATTGAACAATTAACTCAATATCCAGTAAGATCCATGGAGATTGCATGAACCTTAATCAAATTAGGTAAACTAAATTTGAAGAATTGAGATCTTTTAGTTACCAATGGATGAATGTAATATATTGGTGAATTCTCATATATCTTGATAAACAAAGCTCAAAACAATAGAGAAAAAGGAGACTTGAAGCTTGAAGCCCTAGCTTTCTTCCTTGAGTTTGAGAGAGAATTGGAGTGGAAGAATTTGGATGAGAATTGAGGATTTGAGAGAATGAGAGTGTTAGGGTAGATTTGAGAGTTGAAAGATAGTTATATGTCTTAAAATTAGGGTCAAATCTACATAGTATAGGTATTAAATGTATTAGAAAAAGCCTCAAATACCCTTAAGAATTAATTGTTTGTAACACATCGGAAAACTAGTAGGTGAAACTAGAGCCGTTCGAGTGTGTTGTTGAGTTTGTTGTGGGATGTTATGTTGTAAAATGAGTTTCCGAGCTTAGGTTGAGGGGTTTAGGGTTAAACGTCAAGGTACGACCCCCCAAGGACCAACCAAGGGTCCTTCAGGAGGACCCTAAAGCCTAACCTCAAGGCTGCCCCAATTGACAAAAAAAAAACTGTCAATATCCAAGGACCTACACCCCGTAGGTCCATCCACACCCCGTAGGTCCATCCACACCCCTTGGAACCCATCCGTAGGTCAAGGCTCCAATTGTCAAGTTCCTGAACCAAACCACGGACGTGCAGTACGGGGCGTCACCCTACTCACGGTCCGTGGGTTGGTGGGCGTGAGTCATGCCTGAAAAGTTGTTCAATTCGGGCAAGGCTAGGGGCAATGTGGTAAATTCCTTTTAAGGTTAGTTAAGTTAGGGGTCGGTTTATTTTGATTAATTAGAGTTATTTAAGGCTTTTTAATGTATTAAACACCCTTTTTATAATTTATTATTCCCAATACCCAAAATTAGAAACTACATTCTCTTTAAATATTCTCTCTAGAAATCACCATTGGAGAAGAAGAAGTCAAGGTTTGGAGCTCAAGATTTCATATTTTCTCTTCAATTTCGTGAAATCTCTTCAAGCAAGGTATGGTAGTCTTCATCCTTGGTTAAGTTCCATCTAAGGAGTCCCTCCAAAACTCTATTTCTCAAAGTTGAAATTCTCCAAAACCTAGAGTTTTCAATCTATAGCATGGATTTACTTTCAAAACGATTTCAAAGTGTTTATTGTCTTATATTATGATCAATTTGATGAATTACTACTGTTTTTATGATGAATTACCTATGAATCTATGAATTCTCCTATTTTGTCAAATTGGATCTCAAAGTGTGGGTGATGATTAATGTGGGTGGATTGTGATCAAATTATGCATGTAGTAGTTAATCTAATTGAAATATGCGAATATAAATGTATAGAATAGTGATGCAAGATATGAATCATGAATTGTGATCTAGGGTTCTTGAAGGGCTATGAATGAAGAACCTATACATGACTATGAGAATTATGTATATGCTTTGTGATTTCAATGAAAGTAATGTGATCATGTCTAGAATGCAATTGTGTTATTACCGAAAGGTTATTCTCAATTTAGCACTTATGAATGATGATGATATATATGAAAGGTTATTCTCACATACACACATCATGAATGAAGAATAGATGAAGTTTCTACGATTATGTTAATGATGATGTGTTGATTGAAAGGTTATTCTCAATTGTACACTAATGAATGATAATGACATGTTGTGAAAGGACTTTCTCACAATATGGGGATTCTTAGTTGAAAGACTATTTTCATCTTTGAATATATGTGCTATCTAATGAATGAATGTTGGGTTTGAGATGGATACTCAACCGTGTGTTGAGGCGGGGTATCTAGTAGCAATATATTATCCCATAAAAATGAACTAAAGTAATGAATGTCAAGTACTCAGTGGGGAATAATGCTAAGCACCGAGTGGATAGTGATATGAGATGAAAGCTCTCACGTGAGTTGAGGCAGAGTTTCTAGTAGCAATCTCTTGAGATGGATGCCCTCACGTGAGTTGAGACAGGGTATCTAGTAGCAATCTCCCTATCCCATAACTATGTGCCTACATAGGTTTATAGCTAGTAGATCCACCTAAGCTAAATGTTATTGTCCTACCTTAGGCATGTAGAAATCCCTTATTCGGTGTAGGTAACATCGGGATTCCATGATTTGCTCACATGGTCTATGTTGGTTAAGGCTTGCCCCCACAAAGAATGATAATGAACTATAGCTTCTCAAGAATGCACTACTTATTGTGGGTGGGGTTATGAGACTTCATCCATGCATTGCACACGTAGGCTTTGAGAGTAGTCATGGTGTGTTCCTTTATGTATAATGTCTTATGGTCAAGGATATGAGTTATGTACTATGGTTACTCAAGAAGTTCTATGAAGTGTGGGTGGTAGTATGGGATGTCATTTATGCATTGCACGAGTAGGCTTTGAGAGGGCTATGGTGTGTTTCTCAATGTCATAATGTTAAGTGAAATGAATGTACTTATAATGAGGCTAAATGAGAATGTTGACTTAAATACTTAATGTAATGATGTATGCTTTACTTGGTTTGTATTATGAGTTACTTTCTTTGTCATGACTAATGAAATGTATATGTTCCTTATGCATGAGTATTGACTAAAGATGAATAGGACAAATGGTAAGTTCATCTAAGGTGGTCTTAAAATAGTACTTAGTAGGAATAGTAGTATGAAATGCTATTCTTACATTGTACAAATATAGCTTAGGGTTACCTAAGGTGATGGTCTTAATGTGATGAAATGACTTATATGTTGATTATGTTTGTATCTTAAGCCTTTTATACTAAATTTCATGATATTTCTCAAAATTGGCATATAGCATGATTTTTAACCAAAATGTCCTTTTTAAGCATGATTTTTGCATGGCTATCATACTTAGTACATTTTTGTGTGCTAACCCATATTTCTTCTATTTTTCTACAAAGTGTAGGTTCCAGCAATTGAGTTGATTTCTATTAGTTCAAGCTTGAGTTGACTATTCATCAAATTGTGGTATGTCCTCATGGATCCGAGGACAAGTGCTTTATTGTCATTTCCTTTCTTCATTGTACTAGACACTTATTAGACTTTCTATTGTAAGGGCCATGACCCTAGTTTTGACTCAAGCTGTTTTTAGTTGGCCATCTGAGACAAATAGACTTTCGCTGTTTTAAATGATATTTTTCGATTGTATGGATTTAAAGAAAAGTTTTAAATTCCGTACTATTACATGTCTTATGTTATGAATGCTATGAGGCTTGTATGAGGCTCTTCGGAGTCTTATACTCCGTGTTACGTTCGGGGTGTAGGCTCGGATCGTGACATTGTCGAAAGTGACATACGGTTCGTAGAACTTTCTACGGTCCGTATTGGTCAACCGTAGAACCAACTTTAGAAATCCAAACTTCATTCTGTTCCCACGAGACCTTTTTTACGGTCCATCATTCCATCTACGGTCGTAGACCTCTTTCATAGAACCCAAGTTCAAGTCTAAAATTTCACCAAGTCAAAATCGTTTTTACGAAACCTTCATACGACCTGTCATGTTCACTCGTATGTCAAACTTCAGAAACTTGAATTTTGCAAAACTCATCTCAACTTCTACGACTCACCTTTTACAGTTTGTCGATGAGACTTGTCGATTACAGTACTAGTGCCAAAAACTGAATTTCCCCCTTTTAATCCAATTTTTCAATTTTCGAGGTGTTATACTTTATAGGAAAAATTACCTAACTATCCAACATTTCTTTTCATATTCTCTAAAATTTCCTACCATTTCAAAATATTACAAAAATCCCTCTTTTCCATGCATCACTCACAAGCCTTCCAACCCAACGATTTTTGTTGCTATTTTCACGCCTAAAATCACTCCGAAGTATTAGCAGTTACCTCTATCACTTATTTTTTTAATTTCAAATCTATTCTCTATCCAGTTTATTGATTTTAATTTCCTAAAGAGGTAGAGTTTTTTCTTCATCGATTTTAGAAAAAAACAAATAGGAACTAATTAAGTTTGTAATCTTGGATAAAAAGCATTCCTATCAAACGAGGTCCTATATACGACATAAATTCAAACATAGTCAAGTATAGAAAACTTCAATTTTTTATTTTAGAAGAAAAAACGAATATCATCTAATTAAGTTTGTAATCCTAAATAGGGCACGTTTCTCTACGAATGAAGTCCTATATACAGCGTGAATTCAGATGTAGTCAACGGTAGAAAACTTCAATTTCTCTATTTTAGAAAAAAACACAAGTAACATCTAATTAAGTTTGTAATCTTGGTAGGGCGCGTTTTCCTTCGTATGTGGTCCTATATACGACACAAATTCAGATATAATCATTTGTAGAAAACTCCAATTTGCTATTTTAGAAAAAAACAAGTAGCAGTTAATTAAATTTGTAATCCTATGTATGGAGCATTTTTCTGCGAATGAGATCCTATATACGATACAAATTCAGATATAGTCAATTGTAGCAAACTCCAATTTGCTATTTTAAAAAACAACAACCAGCAGCTAACTAAAGTTTGTAATCCTAAATAAAGAGAATTTCCTCTCAATGGAGTCCTATATGCGGCGGCGTGAGTTCAGATATAGTCGAACTTCAATGTAAATATCGAACACGGTGAGGAGAATATAAAAAAAGTTTTTAATTTATTTTATTTTTATACAACAGTAATTCCATTTATTTAGTCTAACTTTAAACCAAGGGGATCAAAAAAAAAAAAACCCTAAAAAAAGAAAGAGGATATTTAATCTAATAAAATGACCAATTTACCCCTACACGCACTATCTACGTATCTCATTCCATCTTTATCAAATATCTCTTAAATTTCACAACCAGCCCCTTTACTTCTCCTTCTTTACACAATAAGGCTAAAACCGTCCTTTCACCTCAAAACCACTACGCAATGCTCCTGAAATTACAAAAACACCCCGAACTTACCAGATCTCACCACGTGTCGTCTCCCCACAATCCAACGGTGGAAATTCTTCCTCAAACAAACACAGCGAAAACACAAACCCAAAGAGATAACAAAGAAACAGTAACAGCCAATAGAATTGTAACATTTCATTCACAGGGATCGATGACGTGGCATTATATATTTTTTGAAATCCCGCCTAAACTAAAACCGGACTTCAAAATTTTATTTTTTTGGTTTATATTCAATTTATTTTAACATTTGGATGGAAAAAATTTCTTTTGAGTCCCTCACCAAAGCCCCTTCTTATCCTCTCTTGACAACACACACACAAGACACAATTTCATCTCAAAGGGCAAAAAATATCTCTTTGTTTTTTCTCTCTCAACCCTAGAAGGTAACCCTACGGCGGCGACTCGGCCGAGACGTACTAATTTTCTGTGGATTTTGAACGGATTGTGAACCGATTCTCACCGGTTTTTGTTGTTTTTGTTGTTTTGTTGCAGTTTTTTTTATCATGAAAGGAGGTAAATCCAAGGGGAAAGCTGATAACAAGTACGTATACGTATTGCTTTTTTGTTGTTGGTTTTTTTTTGTTGTGAATCAATCTGCAAAGCTGATAACGAATGCGTATATCTTTGTTTTTGTTGTAAATCAATTAGAGAGCTGATAACAAGTGCGTATATCTGTTTTTTTATTCTTCATATTTTCGTCGTGAACGGAGGTAAATCGAAGGATGAAGCTGTTAGAACGTGTGTGTATCTCTTGCTTTGGATTTTTTGTGAAGATTTATTTTGGTGTTTTGAGCTTTAGATCTATGATTGAGGTGTTTGAGCATGATTTGTTTTGAATCTATATTCTTCTGATGACTTTGGTTGTTTATGTAGTTAAAATCTATGAGTGAGGCGTGTGTGCATGACATGTTTTGAATGTGTGATTTTTCTTTTGATTTTGGTTATCTACATAGTCAGAATCTACGATTGAGGTGTTTGAGCAATGATATGTTCAAATCTGTGCGATTTTTTTAGCGAACTGTTGCGGACTATTAAGTAGATATGCGGTGTTTTATGTCTGTTTTGAATCGATGTTTTATTATGCTTTGGCGAATTATTACAGTATTAGTACTGCTCTGATTTTACTTGATACATGAGCATAGGTTTTGGTATTATTTTTGTTAGATTTTCAATTTATTTTGAAGGTTTTTGATATATGAGTACATCAAGAGTATAAGAATTGATTGAAATTTTTAAATGTACAAGTCTGTTGGCATACATGTTTTATAATGTCAGGTGTTATCTGTGTGTGGTTATGCTAGTTTTGTTTTAGAATTTGATGTGATTTTTTCTGGATTATTATAGGCTGGTAATATGTTTGATATTTTCTGTGTTCTATATGCTTGATTTGTCTTGAAATTTGATGATATTTTTGCTGGATTATTTCAGGCTCGGAGTGAAGAAGAGCGCTGCCCAGACTAAAAAGGAGAAGAATGCTGCCAAGGATCCAAACAAGCCTAAGAGGCCAGCAAGTGCTTTCTTCGTTTTCATGTACACATTTGAACTCTGGTTCTTAGATTTTTGGTGACACTTGGGCTCAGTAAATCCTGATTTAATAATGCTATTTTTTGTGACTTGTTATATGAAGGGAGGACTTCAGGAAGCAGTACAAGGAAAAACATCCAGGCAACAAGTCTGTTGCTGCTGTGAGTATTTTCTCTTGTCAGACCTAAATTTAAGACATATTTTGTGCTTGAACTAGTATTTGATTGAGCTTTTTTCTATTGATTAATCAATCTTTAGGTTGGCAAGGCCGGTGGTGACAAGTGGAAACACTTGACTGATGCTGTAAGTATATACTTTTTCACTATTAATATAATACTGTTTTGAGATTTAGTGATGTTGCAGTCTTGTTTTAGTCATCGAGCTTTTTCTTATTGAGTTTGAATTTATGAATTCAGGAGAAAGCTCCTTACATTGCTAAGGCTGAGAAACGAAAGGCTGAGTATGAGAAGCTTATGGATGCTTACAACAGAAAACAGGTAAGAAGTAACTGTCAATTGTACATTTTGTCGTTGTTTTGTTCTCTGATGGTTTATTTGTGCTAAAGAAACTCCATATCTTCTGCTGTATAGGCTGGTGAGGCTGAAGAAGATGAGGAATCTGACAAGTCAAAGTCTGAGGTTGATGAGGAAGATGGAAGTGATGAGGTTTGTAATGGTCAATGATCAATAACTTGTTTAGTCTGAAGAACAATAGCTTTTGTATTTGATGATAAAAATTTATTTACTTTGATTATTACAGGAAGAAGAGGATGATGACTGAAGTGCTAATGGAGGAGTAAATTGGTGGGGAAGCTGTGTAATACCTTAGATATTTCTCTATATGATGACTCCTTACTTTTCCCCGTTAAATACTTGCTCTTTTTTTGGTTTATTTTGGGGTTTCTTAGGTATGGGAAAAAGATGAATTAGATCAGAGCTATCTTTAAAGCTCAGTGGCTTATGTACTTTTTATTCTGATGCTGGTGTTGCTTAATGATAATGCAACTTTTTAGGCAATTTGTGTTTTCCTTTGATTAGTCTTTTCTATAATAGTGTAGCTTATTGTTACAAAAATATCTCTCGTGGGTTTTCTAATAGAACGCTCTCTGGTCCCTACTTATTTTTCTATGGGAATATGCTCTGATTGGACCAGATATCATCATCACATACCTTGATCGCGAAAAATATCTGTCCATATCTTTGAAATCGTGCATTTGTTATGTAATGTAATTTTTTTCTAGCGAATTGGATATTCAAACACAGTATTCATCTTAAGATAAAAAGTTTTATACTTGTCATTGTTGATTAATATACAAATGATTATATTTTTGTATTGACTAACGTGGGTCACATGGAATAATGAATATCTGTCCATCTCTTTGAAATCGTGCATTTGTTATGTAATGTAATTTTGTTTCTAGCGAATTGGATATTCAAACACAGTATTCATCTTCAGATAAAAAGTTTTATACTTATCATTGTTGATTAATATACAAATGATTATATTTTTGTATTGACTAACGTGGGTCACATGGAATAATGTTTTGATCATCAAACCGCAAACAGATCCCTTTTTTTAATTTTGTTGGTGGCGTTGAGAATTCCAGGTCCAGCTCATTTTGTCTGCCATTAAGTTCCTTTTTGCCCATACATTTTGAATTTTGAAAAATTTGAGTTCTTAAAGCTGTTTGGAAATGTATTTTACTACTATAGATTTGAATTAATTTGGTTTATGGGTTGAAGTTCAAAAACCTATAAGCTGGTTTGAGTCTGTTTTTGAGAATATTACTAATTAAAATTCATTGTCATTTTTTAATGTTCAACATGCAAAAGCTGTTTTAGGTTTCATTTTCATTGTCGTTACTGTGTTTATCATTAGGTGGTTTGTATAAACTTAAAATGTAAGTGGTCAGGTTTGAAAAGAATCTTCTAGCCATGAAATTGAAGAGTTAATTAGTACTATTATCTTTGAACTTTGGGTATATGATATTGTTATGGTAAATGGTCATCATTATGAAAATTGCAACTACTGGGAGAGTGTTCTCACTGGGTTAGTTGGTTCCTGTTATGTGCCATCATTATTGGTTGATATGGTTTCATTTCTTAGTTCAAAATGCCATAACATCCACAACATTAAATAATAGCATACCTAATCTAATCTCATTAATACTACTTTATACTAATGCAATAAGTAGGGTTTGAATATCAAGAATAGTGCTTTGTCTTATTAAATATACTCTTTGTTTTTTAATATATCATTCTTACTATAAATAATTATTTCATAATATTTGTCATTTCATAAAATCAATGCATAAACTACAATATTCTTCCTATTATATTGTGAATAGTTAATTAGTTTTGAAAATAAATATTTGACCAACCTAGGAAAATTAATAAATAATTAATATTAATTGTAATTACTTCATTGTTTAATTACTCTCACCATTGCATTATTCTATAAAATCTAATTTTGAAAAAGAATTCTCAACAAATAAATTAAAAATAGCACTAACTTAGTTTTAATTAATTTTTAACTTATAATTAACATTAAAAGATGGAATAAAGGCTAGAACCAATTTATTTGGGGGTCTGGCTCGGGTTTTCCCGGTTCGAAAAATGGAGATTTTGAACCGTCTATAAACCATTAAATTACCGGTGAGGAAAAAAAATTCCGGCAAGAAAATGGCAGCTGCCGGAAAATGCTTCCTTGTCACTGGCCCTGTTGTATGCTCTCTCTCTTCCCCCTTTTCTATCTCCATTTTTGCCCATTTCTAATGCACTAACTCTCAGACCCGTTTCTTCTTTGTGTAGAAAAAAATCTGACATTTATTGGTCATTTTTTTCTTCAGGGTATTGGTAAGACAACTTTGATAGTCAGAGTACTCGAAACTCTCAGAAATTCAAATCCTAATTTGAAAGTTCAAGGGTTCTACACTCGTATGTATAATCTCTCTGTATCCCTTTTACATTATTCCGGTCTATTTGGGGCATGTGTGGAGCTAGGTAGGGCTGAGGGGTTTATCGAATTGCCCTTACACATAATTACACTGTTTATACATGATTAAAATTACTTTTATGTTGAACCCTTTTGGCCTTTTTGTGTGTTTACTTCGTATTTTGAACTCCTTTGTGGAAATGCTGCTTTGGGGAGCTAGCCCTTGAACTACAAGTTCTGTAGTAGCTTTGGTCTATTGAGTATATGCAAATTATTAATTTTGAAAGAATCCCAGAACCCATAAGCTTCAAATGCTGGCTTGGATTTGTGGGAAGTTCTAATTTCTTTATCTGATTTTGGTGAAGGTGAGATTAGAGAAGGAACTGAGAGGATTGGATTTGAGGTTGTGACTCTTGATGGACGTACAGGGCTTCTTGCTTCTAACAAAATCTCGAGGTAAAGCTTTCATCTTTTCCTCTATTTGTTTTGGTATTTTAACTTTTGAGTGGATTGGTAAACTACCATTTGAGCTCAATAGACTATATGAACGGCCAACATGCACCATCATGTTCTTGCATAACAAACCAATGACAAAAAAAGGGTGATGTTCTTGCATAACTAACCAGTGACAAAAAAAGGGTATAAGAAGCATTAGGAGAATATTGACAATGATTCCTGCCATTATAACCCTTGTTATTCTTTCCTTTCCACCATTTGAACCTTGGATGATGGATTGTTAGAAGAAAAGTTGTGAGAGGATATAGAAAGTTCATTTTGTGTAAGAGTATTTAGCTAATAAGCAGTTTGAGGAGAGAAGTAATCCAAGGTAGTTGTACTGATATGTGCTTAGTCAGTTAGCAGTAGAGGCTGCCGGATTACGATTGATGGCTGTGATCAGTGGCATTAAGCCCGGAACAGAAGTGTGAGAAGAGAGGGGTGATCCTTTCATGGTTTAGAGTCACACATATTCTGTGACTGTTTTTTCAATCATTTGGAGGTTTCACAGTGCAGTCAAGAACAAGGGTTGAGAGACTAGTAGTAATCCAGTCAAGGGTGATAATGCTATACTGAATCCATAAATATTCATCGTCAGTGGGTGATGGACATCAGGGCATGGAATGAGACCATCCACCAAGAAGATGAGGTATTGACCTTTTAGTATAGTGAAGAAAATGAAGTAATACCTTTTTAGTATTATGTGAAAAGCTTTTTAGTGAGGTAGTTTGGGTAGGTAAATTCAATTGATAAAAGCCTTTGATGTTGGAAAGTTGTGCAAAAGACAAGGGAAGATTGTGGGGAGTGCACTCAGTAGAGGAAGAAATAAAGAAACCTTGGTTTTGATATCTAGTTGAGTCTTTGAAATATAATGTGTCTGTAGCAGTTTCTTCTGATGAATTTATAATTTAGTGATGTGGGTAAAAACCGTATAAAAAAACTAAAAAGTATAGAAGAAAAATGGAGAACCTAGACAGGGATGTGGTGTCTTAAGGATGCCTACTATTATGAATCTCATCGGTGTCCAAAAGTTAATAAAAAATAAAAGGCATACTCTAATTTGTACAAAGCCGTAATTCAGCCCTCCAAAAGCTCTTATATTCCTGCAGTCAAGGGTGTAGCTAGTAGTCAATGAAGTGAGTGCAAAGCTCTCACATTCCATGTGCATAAGCCTTGATGGATAAGTTACTCGGTACTTGCGCTGGTGGGAGGTAGAAGGTATCCGGTGGAATAGTCGATGTCCTTGCAAATTAGTCCAAACAACACCACTACATGAAAAAACAAATAAGCTCTCATATTCCTTTGTCTTTGTATGCACATAAGTATTAGGGTGCTACTTTCCAAGCTCTACATCTGCTTCTTCTCTTCCTGAATGTTCAAGAGTTCATTGCGTTCTTCCCTTCATGATGCTCTTCTGTATCACCTGTCCATAAGGTAAAGTGTTGTTGTCGATCCTCCCACTCCATCATAATGCAAGTACTTATTCTCAATTTTCTACTTGTTACTTGCCTAGTAACGCTCTGTTAAAGTCCTTAAAGCGTTTACTCCAACCCCTCAAATACCTGATTACTAATTTTATTCCAGGGGAAGTTTTATTTGAAGTTCTTCTAACTTTTAGGCTACACTTGTCAGTGTGAGTATGAGAAACATTTAATATGTCAGGGTACTTGATAGTGTACTCTTGGAGTGCGTAATTTCCAATGTTTGGCTGGTCGAAATACTTTTGAAAACATTTTCTCTAGGAAAACAAGTTCCTTAAAAATGAGGAAAATGACTACCCTAATGGAAGTAGGAAAAACTACTTCCATAAATGACTATCCAAGTTAATTATCTCCTCCCCATCTACCCAATGCCCCAACTCCCACTCCTTGACCATCCCACCTCCACCCCAACCCCTGCCACCCTCAACCCCTCCCTTACCCCATGTCCCCATCCCACCCATAGTGTTTTGCTAGATTACATATAATTTTTTTTGTTTACTTACCAAGCACTAGAAAATAAGTAAGAAAGCCACTTGTTTTCCAAGAAAATATTTTCCTTCGTGCCAAACACACCCTTGATCAAGACTCTCTTAACCACTTTGGTCAAATACCTTACCCCTCTAGTCTCGTCCCATTCTTCAATCACAATATTCTAGACTATAGGGACCCTGTTTGATGCTCCTAGTGGTAGCTGTAGATAAGTGTTTGGAAGTGCTCTTATCCTGTGGTTGAACACATGTGCTAAGTTAACTGCTAAATGTTGTCCACTCCTCTCATTCGGACAATCTCACACATCTTTAGGTTGGTTTTTCTGCCTCCACATTAGGACCTTTCTCAGGTAGGATAAATAGAGTGCCTCCACATTATAAATTTACAAAATATCAGGGTATCATCTGCGAACAAGAGATGGAAGCCAACTTATCATTACTCTTAATACTTGCTGTGTAGAATTTCAAAGAACCTTCCGCCACCACTCTGTCCATTATCAAAATGAACAACAAGAGAGATACTGAGTCCCTGCCTCTACCTTCTGCAGCTGTCAAAAAACCACATGGGCTACTCAACAGGACTGAGAACCTCACCTTCAATATACCAAACTTTATCCACTATTCTCCAAAGCCATCTTCAACATCACAAAATCCTAGAAATTCTAGTTCACGTGATCGTTGACCCTGTGAAGATGTTATTTGCATAGGAAACGTGGTTCCCCCTATTTTCTTTTGGTACTTGTTCTAGAAAGTTTTTCCCCATCAAGTTATCTGGAAATGCATTTCTCTGGGAAAATGGTATTGGTATCCTCATTAATTATGTCTCAACGTATTCCTTATTGTTTCTGCTGGTGAAAGAGATCCAACTTTTGATATTATTTTTTTGAGAATATATCTCTTTGATATTTGCAATTTGCATATACTGCAAGAAGAAGAAATTCTTCCCCGTTAGCACATAATTCCACATGAATTTTATGAATGGAGAGTACTAATGTGATGGATATGTGTTCAGCCTATTTCCTCTATTGTTGACTATTGTATCTGCTGTTTTTAGTTGTGGGAGAAATGAGATGAGCGAAGACTGAATAATTAGTTGTTTATTTACCAGTTCAATTTCTCTCTGGTGAAAGATGTGAAATTTTATTCAAGTTGATAGTTCCTGATAACATCGTCCTCAAGATCCTCTTTTCTTTTGAAACCGGTAACTTCAGTCTATATATCCACAGGTGTACTACAACAAAAGTGTAGCTCCCCTTCAAAAGTTTACAACCCACAGAGAAAGACAATCTTAATCTGAACTGCTGCCTTTAAACAATCTAGCACATCAAAGATGTCTTCTGTCCTAGTTAATATATATCTTCTTTACACCAAAAATAAAAAAAGAGCTAAGCAATTCATTTTGATCTTCTGTAAACTGCTCTGCACATTCTCAAAACTCCTGTTGTTTCTCTTTCCAAATTGTCCACCAAATGCATGCTGGGACAAGTTTCCATCTCTTCTTATCTGAAGCATTGCCATCTCTATTCCAGCTGCTTAGAACTCCTTTAATGCTCCTGGTTTCACCCATCTTATCCCCTTTAGACAGATGAACATTCTCCATAACTGTTCTGTCCATGTACAGTGCAAAAAAAGATGGTTAATTGTCTCTGCATGCTCTCCACATAAAGTACATCTAGAGGCCAACTGATAGCCTCTTTGTTTAAATTTTCATGAGTCAAAACTGCTTCGTTTGTCAACAACCACATGAAGTAGTTTACGATCCTCTTTGGATCATAATATACAGCACACGTGATTATGGTTGAGTTATTTTCTATGAAGTGATACAAAATTGTCAAAAGCTATAGCCTTGTGAATTTAGGTTGTTTTTAGTTTAGTCAAGCCATATGTTTAAATTATCTGACTATGTTCCCATCAATAATTGCATGATTTTGGTGTTATGCTTTCATTTTTGCTGAAGCATTTTTAACCATGCAGCGCGCAGTCTCTTAGATGGCCCACCGTGGGAAGATACAGGGTAGATGTTGCATCATTTGAGTCGTTGGCATTGCCAGAGTTGCAGGTTGGTTGATTTCTTTCAGCAGGATTTTAGTGACTCATATCCTGACATTGTTGTACTTCACTTGGAGCGGTAACTTTGACTTTGTTCAGGGCTCTTCTTTAATAACTAATCGTGATTGCAAGTTATAGAACATTCAATTTGTCTCATCATTACTTTAGCACATGAATAAAAGAATTTCTGATCCATAATATATTGTATATTTCCATTTGATGGTTCATAATTTTGTTAGGTAAGGGAAGATACCGATCTCTTCATCATCGATGAAATTGGGAAGATGGAGCTCTACAGTTCCTCATTCTTTCCAGCTGTACTAAAGGTCCTTCAATCTAATATCCCACTCTTGGCTTCTATCCCCATTACAAAAGTAGGCCGAGATATACCTGGAGGTATTTCCCTATATATATGTATTTGTTGCAAATGATTACTTAGAGCTGAGATTAGCTTGCCAGTTGATCTATGTTCTTTTGTTGAAAAAGGGAGATAATAGTGTGACACGTCTTCATCACTGTCGACAAACTCCCCTCTATCTGTATGTTTTGCGTTTGTGTAAGTCTGGACCTTAATTTTGTTGTGATCACACTGATAATCCTACATGCCAAATCCAAATCAATCACATTGGTAGTCAAGTATCTATGTACTAGGGATTTGTTGAAGAAATATTTTCTAATGTAGAATGGTATATGGGCCATATAGATTTTATACAAGGGTTTAGAGTAATACTCCCTCCATTCCAATTTATGTGGTACTGTTTGATTCGACACAAAGTTTAAGAAAAAATGGAAGACTTTTGAAATATGTGGTCTAAAACACTCCTTGACCATTTGTGTGGCTATAAATCATTTCATTAAGAGTAAAGTGAGAATTTTGAAGTTAAATTGTTTTTAATTATAAAAAGTGACATTTTTTTTGGGACGGACTAAAAAGGAAAGAGTGTTACATAAATTGGGACATATGAAGTATTAAGTTGCTCTGACTCGGTGCGGGTATTCTATACATATGCGGATCTAGAGGTCGGATCCTTCATGATCTAAGTTTTAAGATTTGGAAACAATCTCTCTACCTCCAAGAGGGGTAGGGGAAAGGTCTGGGTACACTCTCCCCTCTCCAGACCCCACTTCGTGGGATATACTGGGTATGTTGTTGTTGGTAGGGATCCAAGTGGGGTCTCTCTATATTTAAAAATAGAGCTATAAAAATATGCCTATATTATGAGACATTAAGTGGAGAACTTATATGTAGCTTTTATAGTGCAGTAACTAATCTTTTATTCTCAAGTTGTAGGTATCCATCTAGAAATCTACAGTAGCTTTTGTCTTGAGAAATTTAAAATGCCAAATCATGACTCTAAATTTTCCTTAGTTTGTGGCCTTTGTGGTCGAAGTACCTAATGTTGATTGACCAGATCTTGTACGTATCCCACACCCATACTAGTTTCAGTGTCGTGTCGACATGGGTGTGGGCGTGTGGCACCACAAATGAAGATTTTGCCCAGCTTAGTAGTAATGTGACGTTTTGCAGAAAATGCTTATCGAACTTCTTTTACTATTTATCTTTGTTAAAGCTGGAAGCAAATGATGAAAACTCCAAATCTATGTTTGCTATTTTATTTACCTATGTAAGCTATCCTGACCACTCTGCATAATCAACTTATCACGTCTGTTTTCTTTGTCATTTTTCACAAATCTTCTATATTGTTATTTTGTCGTCTTTTAATCCCTGCTTTTGACCTCCGAACTTTCACTGTTACTCGAGTGTTGGACTTATAAACCAACATTCTTGTACTTATCAAAGAAAAAAATAAGCCAACATGGTTTTGGATTTTTGCAGTAGCGAGGATGAAGAATCATCCAGGAGCTAGAGTTTTTACACTTGATGCAAATAACAGGGATGCTATGAGAGAACAAATATGTTCCATCTTAGCAGATGTGCTGCAAAAGCCTTAGACGTCGAAGAGCATAATCTTCCAGCTAATGTTCTAAACACTCCTGCTGGTAAACAAACTTTAAACTGATCGTCAAATCTTCCAGTAACGTACCTTCATTATTTTGTCCTTCGGAGATGCACTATTCAAGAAGACAAGGATGCAAGTGGAATATTTCCTTGATTCCCTTAAAATCTCCAACACTTTGAAGACCACTTTGAACACCGTGGTGGCGTAGAATGCTCAGAACAATTGCTGAGAGAGGAATTTTGAAGACGAGAGAGAAAAAATGGAGCGATGTTTTTTATAACATGTTGCTGGCCAATTCTAACTAGTCACAATCTAACTTTTCTGAAGCTTCCTTTAATTTCTTTTCTGTGTTAGTATGGTGTACTGAAAGATGCCAGTGTGTGCTGTTTGATTATATTGATTGTGGAAAATTGATCCAGTCCTTCCCTGAACTCTGTGCATAGCCAAAGTTTAGTGTGTCAGACTGCCCTTTTTTTTTAACATTTGTTGTATTGAGTTCCTCCAATCATGGTTGGAAACTTGTAGCCTTCTTTGACCGCCTTGACATCCTTCACCTTGATGGTTAGAAGATGACTTGAAGGACTGAAAAAGAAGGAAGAAACAACAACAATAACAACATGAACAATTTGTTATATGCCAAACTTGGTTAAATTTTAAATTAAACTCTTTTTGGATAACAAATAGTACCATGCTATTTGTGGATCGTAGTCATCAAACCTTAGTTTTGCATGCAACTTTATATTATGTTGAAAAGAGAGCAAATTATAAGAGTCCAAAATAGGAATAAGTTACATGGTAAGTTGATAGATGTGGATGTGGAGAATCAACCTCGGTTGTAATGAAATGGTTGAGATCTCTCCATTTTTAATAAGAGGTTTCAGATTTAAGCCCTTGGAAATGGAAAAAAAAAATCATGTCGAGGGTGTCGCCCCTAGAGATGAGCCATGCAATATTGTGTGATTAATCTGAATTTAGTTGAGTCCCAATGCGTAAAACTTGGTGCAATACCAGAACCATAATTTTTATCAAGGCGATTCAAAATTTAAAGAAGTACTACTAAATACACAGAAAAGATGAAGGAATTTAACTTCTAATATATATACATAAAATAGTACTCCATCCGTCCACTTTTAATTAGTATCATATTTTCTTTTTTTAGAGTCAAAGAACTTTGAGCAACATTTTACACTTTTCATATACTTTTTGAATATCTAATTTTTTTGTTTAAATTATCAAATTAATGTAATCTAATTTAATTTTGAAAATTAGTCAAATTGACTTTTGAAAAACGCAACATGACAATTAAAAGTGGATGAAGGTAGTATTAACCTATATTTATCAGCGAAGAAAACTCAAATGAACCTCTTGAGCCCCTAACTGGGATGTGTGGATACAAAGGTGGTCCAAATTAATAGTATAACCAAATAATATACTACTAATAATTTTCTTGTAACTGTCATTATTAAGGCCACTAAAATCTTATGGCTTTAGGATTTGCATGAACGTGATACAATCCTTCTACATCATTTCTAATAAAGGTTCAACTTTCTGCTTAATTTTCTATTAACAATCACAATAAAGCTATCATCACCATTTTCATGAGTTGTAACTTATAAGGTAAGTGGCAAATTTAAAATTTCACTAAGAGTATTTATATATTATATACTTTTCGACAAAGAGTGTTCAACTGACCTAACTTATATTAGAAATGTGGAGAACTCTCAAGAATACAAGTAGTTGGCATTGAATTGGATTTGTTTACTTTTTTTTTTCACAAGTTTGAGACTATTTGCTGCCTTTTACTTTTGTGTATGTGTGACCTTTTTTCTCTAGAAATGTAAAGAGAATTCTCAAGAATATAGTTGTGTGAGACTATTTATTAATTTGCTATAGATCACAATAAGTTCTTCGTTTCGTGATCATGGTTGTAGGTAGTCAGAGGTGGATCCAGGATTATTAGTTTATGGATTCTGGACCATTATTCTTCGTTCGTGCTTATTAGGTATATTGTTTGATGCAGAGTTGCCTCTCCAAAGTTATTGCAATTTTAACATCATGGTAAGATTGTCGGATCTTATTGACGTTGATGCAGGAGGGACGATGAAGATGTCTCTTTCGACTAAGAGAGATGGAGGTAAGTGTTTTCGATCTCTAGTTGTGTTGATGGAGGACAATGTTGTAGTAATAAAGATTTCAAAGATGTCATTTTTCTACTAAGCTAATTTCATAAACTAAAAGTGCTTAGTGATTTGTCTATATACATTGCTTGGACTCTTTAAATCGTTGTCAGGTGTGTATCGGATCCTTCAAAAGCTATACATTTTTTGGAGGATCTGACATGAGTATGGCAACATTTTTGGAAAGTTCGAGCAACAGAGGTTACAAGAGTGTTGATGATTCTTTACCAACACTATTGAAGAATGATTGCACTATTAAAGGAAATTACTGGATAGTGGTTTTTCACTATATATATGTGATTCGTGTAAAAAATACTGGATTCAACTGAACTGATAGGAATAGGCTGCATCAGCCTCTGGTTTATTTGAACCCTCTTTGATAAAAAATACACTGTTTATACATGGTTAAAATAATCTTTTATGTATATATAGTATATGTTGAATTCCGTTGGCTTCTTTGTGTGTTTACTTCTTCATATTTTGAACCCTCTTAGTGAAAATGTTGGTTCCGCCACTAGGGGATATATTAGAGGTATTATGATACATTCGTCTATTCTGCAGGCCTAGAAGCTCCTCGAAATAGATCAGAGAAGCCAGCAGAGAGCTTCTGTGATGGAGGGGACGATATCCTGGTAATAATTTGTTATGTTATTCTGGAATTATAGCCATTCTGGTTGTATCGTCTTCTCTTAGTTGATGTGAGGTTAAATCTTACTATATGGAGCCTTGAAAGTGAAATGAGAAACTTAATATCTTCTATACAGTTTATGCATTTTGCAAGTTCAGGATTAGAAAAATCCTCTATTTTGCTAACGTACTCGTGAGATTAACCTTTGGTACTTCTTGAGCATTTGATTCTTCTCTTCGATCATCATTTTGTCAACTTCACGGTAAGTTTCACTTTTAGGACCTGTAGAGTTGCAATTTTCATTGTCATTTTGAACGTAAAATGATCACACTAGACATGTCTGTCACTTTTACCTACGATATCATTTTGTTTCGTTCCTTCTAGTGTTCTTGGGCTGAGCATTTGATTCTTCTCTTTTGTCAACTTTGAAACAGGTTTCACTTTAGATGCATTAGGTGTTGCAGAGTTGCAATTTCCTCTGTCATTTTGAACTTAAAATGATTCACACTCGACCTGTCTGTCAACTTTTACATATCATTTGGTTTCCTTCGTTCTGTTGTTACTTCTGATCTTGTTTTCAACACAGTTTGTTATTTCTTTGATACGGTGGGAGTGAAATCCATCTCTGAATGAAAATTTGATACATTTGATTCTCATTTTGGTTGCATTTTCGCGATTTAACTCACTAGTTGCTTAAATTCAGTGTACTTATCACATGACAAATGACTGGCCAGAGAAGAACTGTTATGTGAAAGAGGTTCCAATGAAGAAACTGATCAGTGAAGAATTAGCTAAAAGACCAAACACAGGACAGAATGTGCCTAGCGTTGTGGCCCGTCTGATGGGACTGGATACATTATTGGTAGATGAGGAGAGGTTGAGCGAGGTTTCCTCGAGACAAACAGTTTTCGATTCCTTTGACAGACGGAGTAGTAATAGCCTGAAGTTCAACGAACTTAAACCCCGAGAACATCCACAGGAAGAGGAACTACAAAAGTTTAAGAAAGAGTTTGAAGCATACCAAGCAGCAAGGTCCAAGGAATGCTCAAAGTTTGTTGAACTTAGCACCAACACGGTTCTCTATGCGAACTCAACAAGAAAGATGGTTACTGAGAGATCTATAGATCTTAAAGGACTTGCTGCAACAGAAAATATACACGAAAGAGGTATTTCGAAGGTTCAGAAAGATAAAAATGAATTTCTTGCAGCTGCACGAAATAAGACTATTCGTGCATTGAACGTTAAGTCGGGTTCTGCTCCTGCAAATATTGTAATTTTGAGGCCTGTTTCCGACAGGACGGGGAAAATTGAAGAATCATGGGCTAATTCTCCTAGAATATCCGAAGACGGGAGTAGCATGGAAGAATTTCTTCAGGAGGTTAAGGAAAGACTAAAATTTGAATTGCAAGAGAAGAGCTTCCGAAGAACCATTGAGAAGCCATCAGATGCAAAGATAATAGCTCAATGTATTGCAAAACAGGCGCGAGAGAGTGTTACTAGGGACGTTGGAACGACTCACCACCGATCAGAATCAATGCAGTCTTATAGAAGTGAAATCCAACACGACGAGGCTAGCTCACCTGAATTCACTAATAGAGATACAAGAAGAATTTTGACAGAAAGGTTGAGGAATGTCCTGAGGGACGAATCATCTCATGATATAGACAAGCATGGTCGTGTAAGCTCCAGATCAGTAACACAGAATAGGGAAAAGAGCAAAGCTGAAGAAATCAGATATGCTTCGAATGAAGTGTGCCACGGGGACGATATGAAAGATGAATCAGACAGGCAGTGCAGATATTCCAGGCAGGAGCTAGGTAATGATGTTATGCTAGACCAGAAACTATTTCACAGGAACCTGGTTAGATCTTTGTCAGCTCCCGTATCACGATCATCATTTGGAAAACTTCTCCTGGAGGATCAAGATATGTTAACGGGGGCTCATATTAGGAGAAAACACGAAGCTATCGAGGAGGTCACAGTGAACGTTAAGAAATGGCGAAAAGAGAAATTCAATCTTAAGGAAAAAGTTTCCAGCTTTAAGTATAGTTTTATTCTTAGAGGAAAGCTCTTTGGTAGAAAAATTCAATCTTTGGAGGAATCACATGGAAACAAACAAATGCACATGAAAGATCTTCAGAGCACACAAACTGTTGCATCCAAATTTTATGTGAGACAAGTAAGAAGCTTCAACTGTCCTTTTTCTTTTCGACTATTGAAAATTTTGAGATAATGGTCAAAAACACGCCTGAAGTATCATGTGTGTTTGCGAGTTTCCTACCTGAACTATCACGTGTTCACTTTTCCTACGTCAACTATCACCAACTATTTATCAAAACACACCTC